AATTTACCATATATGTACTGTATACTCTATTGCAATAGTCTGTTGCTATTGATGTAAACCATCAAATCCATCCAAGTTTGATCAAACTGTGGTTCCTGCCTCTGGTGTCTCATTATTTTAACTTTCTCTGTAATTTTTCTAACGTAGCAAATGAAGAGGCCCTGTTCATCCACATTTCAACTGTTATATTATCTAAAGTTTTCCAATGTTGGGCAATTATTATTTTGGCTGCTAAAATTAGATAGATACAGGCAGTCAATGGGTTAAGAATGAGTTCCGTTCCTAAGTCCGTCTTTAACTCAAATTTGCATGTAAGTTGAAATTTGTATTTATGCCTGTTACTAAATATGGTGGATGGTGTTCCCCTTCCTTGAGCTGACGAACTGCTGAAGCTGCGCAATGTTTTCATGAACCACTGAAAACAGGCTGTATGTTAAAAACTTGCAGCTTCAGCGGTTCATGAAAATATTGCGACATTGCATGGCTTCAGTGGTTTGTCCACTCAAGGAAGGAGAATGTCAGTCCTTTTGTCTCTGCAGTTGGCTACAGTTGGAGCAGAGAGAGGTAGGTAGACCACCTTGAGCTCTGAGAGGATGGGCAGGATATAAAGCTAACAAGGGAAAAAGTTATATCTGACATTTACCCTCTATCACAACTGATCCTGACATTGGATGAAGGCCTTCACCGTTTTGTGATCTTGGAGCAAATCTACCCTAGTTTGGAAAGCAGGCTTGAACTCTCCTGGGGTTGGGCCCTTCAAATCTCCCTCTCCCACCTCTTTTTCCCCAAAGAGCACATATGGGGGAATCTGAAGAGGAACGGGATCAGGCCCCCATGGTTTCTCTTCACCTTAGATCTGCTGCTGTGGATGGGTTATAGAAAAAGAAAAAGGAATCTAGCTTTGCTGTTCTCACAACATTCTTCAGTGGGCCAAGGTGTTGGGCGTGGAGGTCAACTACAGTGTGGGAACACCAAAAAGAAGTCAACTGACTCAGCCACGTAATCCCAGGGAATTAAATGTAGCTCAGACCAGGCCATGGACAGGCTTTAAAATCACTCTACCAAGTTAATTTGATCGTGGGACCATCTCATCCCACTCCATAGAGCCATCTTGCCCAACTAGCCAGAGGGGGCCCAAAGGCCAGCACCTCCATTACCAAACTCATTCCCAAAGCCTGAGGATGCAGGTGGATCCTCAGCTCAGCCCCACCTCCTGCTTGCCCTGATGCGAGGACAGCCCATTACCCATCCCGTGAGGGGAGCAATGCGTGAAGCCATCTTCTGCCTGCTCCAGTTCCCCATGAGGTCAACTTCTCCCTTCTTTTCCTGCTCTCCGTCAAAGCGGGGCTCTGCAATGGGGTGAGATGGCATTTTCTCTCTGCTCACTAGTCCCACCCCTCCTGAAAGGACCTTTGGAACAGTGAAATGCTGAAATATGGTTGGGCTTTGTTCTGTTTTTCAGTTTTGCTAGTGGTCTGGTGAAATGGTGAACTTGGGGGATTTTGCACAGTAACTTTTTTCTAGATAATGTTATTTTAATTTAGAAGGAGATCTGTCTAATTCTCCTTCTAGCTAAGTGACTGGAAGAATAGTGAAGGGTTAGTTCTTTCTTTCTCCCACCCCACCCCACCCAATTGGCCCACCAGTGGATGGCCTGGATGGGAAGACATAAAGTACGAAGGAGAGTGAATGGAGGGGGACTGCGCAACTGGCCTATTAACAGAGACCACAAGTCCTCTGGACCCATCCATGGAAGAGAAAGGGATTGGGAGAGGTGAAGAGGAGAGTAAGGAAATGGTACAAGTAGAGTATGTGGCCAGGCTATTGACAGTCTATAACCACAGAGGCAACACGTTTCTCATGCAGGGACTAGGTGGCCCCATCAGCGGAAAAGTCATTTTCATTCTAATCAGAACACAGAGGAATAACATCCGTGCATTGACTCCTCAGGGTTTGACATCCCCAATTTGTTCGCTATAAAAAGGCCCTTTGGGACCATAAACAAGTCTTCATTAGTTGCTTTTCCTGGTAAAAAGCCTCACTCACCCACTCACGTCTGCCTTCATTTTCTTCTCCCCTCGCCAGGTAACGGCCCCTCCTCCACCATCCCCACTATCCTCTACAGGCACCTAAGGATGAAATTAGCCATGCAGTTGTCCATCCATGAAGGGAAGCCAGGGAGGGATAGGACCCTTTATAGTCGCCGCAAGGGAGGGGGTGTGGTGGGTGAGCTTGTCCCAGTAGAGTAGCCTCTGAAGCCTGTGGAAGCTGGACTGAAGCAAGAGGTGGCACCAGACTCTGATGACAGGGGCTGGGGACTCTGCAGCCCTTTGGATGTTGCTGACTACAGCTCCCAGGATGCATCATACTTGATCCTTCATGCTAGAGCTGCTGGAAGTTGTATTCCTCAGAGATGCAGGACCATCTATTCTCCACTCCTGTAGTCACTGCTTGGGGCTTAATGAGGACTGGGTTTTTTCTAAAGCAGCAGGCTTGGAAGCTGATACATGCTCTGTGCAATCTTTCAAGTTTGTTGG